GTTTAGGGTTTAGGGTTTCCAAATAAAGCCCTACAAACACTAGTCTATCCCGCTGTCCATCTCATTTGATGTCTTTCCTCCATGCTTGGGGCTATATATCCCACGATACCCCTAAGCCCTAAACCCTAGATAGTAGTTTCCATTCTATTTTCCATGACCCCTATATCACCCATATCTAACCCCAATATACTATAGCAGGTTCCATTTTCTTTTCCAGTACTCCTATACTGGGTTTTGGTGATTTTGACGTGCAAGCTGGGGACTGGGCGCAGCCAGCATGGACCGCACCTTGGGATTCAAGGCTCGAAGGCTCCAAGCCAGGAATCTGTTCTTTCGGCCTTCTGCAGCTGCATCTTCCATGTTGGGTGCTGCTCGTAGTTTTGGAGTTGCTTTGTTTTTCAAGTGTGATGCCAATGATCTGTCTAAAAATCTGCACCTTGAGTGGCATCCGTCTTCCGGCACTCGTAGTTGCGGAAGGCAACAATTCGAGCAAATGTTGGCTAGCTCGGCGGAACTTTGCATCCACAGAGTGTACCAACCAGGAATGCTATAATCACTATAAAACCCAATTTTCCATGTAATTTTCCATGCTTTTTTTTCGATTTGATTCTCCACTATGGGGTTACCCTAAACCTTAAACCCTATCCTACCGTCTGTCCAGACTTGAAGTTGCAGCACTCTTTCACCGCTCGCCACGATTACTCGACCTCACCGCCGCAGGCCATCCAGACTCTTTGGCCAAGACCTGCCAAACAGGGGGACCCCCCATGTAGACCCCAAGATACTACGATCCTTGTTTATAGGGAGCCCCAAAGTTGTACTTGTGTCCCATCACGAGATCCAGAGCGCCTGGGCTGCAATGTCCAGCATGGCAGTTGACAAGCTTCACTGTAGTCGCTACCTTCATCAACACTGGCTACTGCGGAATTATCCGAATTCTAGCCCACAGCAAACCCTAAATCCTAAACCCATAACGCTAAACCCTACACACTAAACCCTAATTCCTAAACCCTAAACAGATTTTGGCCTTGGCCCTGCAGATCTTGCTAGATTCTACTAGATCCGCACGTCTCGATGCGAGCCAGGCAAGAATTGAAAAAAAACTGTTGTACTACTGGTGATTTGATTATATAAGGTTTATAGAAGGCTTCTAGAGTGTAGTTTAGGGCTCAAAACAAGATTTGCTGTGAGGAGCATCGCGAAGTTCTTATGTCATTCCCAGACGGCAGGATGCACGAGCTCAACATGAGCAAGTCTGTACATGTGGGGGTTTCCCAAATTCAAGGTCCCATTTTGGTACCCCGAACTATCAGGTGCCGGAATATAATCTATAGCCAAAAGGGGTCCACAATTTGGAGAATAACCCACATGTCGCGGCTCGGGCTGCCACGAGACTGGATCGTTCGTATCATCTTGCTCCTTTCCCCAACACAAGCAATTGCACAGCTGGAAGCATCCCCACCCAGTTCCATGTAGTCAGCAAAAAACCCCTACCTTAACTAGAACCCTAAGGCCCCTAACCCTAAACGCAAATGGTAATTTCCATTTTCTTTCCATTATCCCTATACAATCCGTATTTACATATGTATATATATACTTGTATTTTTACCCCTGTATAGGCTTAATCGGACCATACCCCAAGGCATCTTAGGCCAAACAGGACCCCAGGCTCTCCAGACGCCCAAGCAGGCGCCCCAGGCCAATGGCCTTGTAGGGGGATGCCGAAAATTGGGGTACCCGTGGGAACCTCCAAGGGTTTAGGGTTTTGGGTTTAAGGTTTAGAGTTTTAAGGTTTAGGGTTTTAGGAACTTAGGGGTCTGAGGGGCTTAAGGGTTTAAGGGTTTAGGGTTCACAGGTTTAGGGCTAAGAAACTAGAATTAAAGGAAATTTGATGGAGCTCCCATCTGCAGATGCTGCGGTGCTGGTGCTGGACTGAGAAACCCTAAACCCTAAAGCATTTACCCTAAACCCTCTGGACTGAGAAACCAAGTGCACGACGTTGGTCTTTAAGCTGCTTTCCTGGCAGGCAGAACAAGATGCCCAGCCATGTGAGCTATAGTCTAAACTCCTAGCATCCCACTTAATAACGGAGAATCAAATGGAAAAGAAAATGGAAACTGATATATATATATATATGTATATAGGGTTATGTAGGGGATTATAGGGGTTATAGTCTTAACTCCTAGTATCCCCCTTAATATCCCCTATAATCGTCCCTTATATAATCCCCTTATATAAGCGCCTTCAAGGAGTTTAGACTATGGCTCATGTAACTGCACCTTGGTGGAAACCTTACCTTCCGGCATACTATGCTAGAAACGTCTGACTGCTGGTGCTTTTCTGTGGCCCTTGGAGCTAAGATTGTCTTAGCATTGCTCAGAGATGTTCTCGGCCTTCATCCGCACGAAATAGTCCAAGGCATAGCCAACATCCTTTTGACACATGCATCTGCACGGAAAAATCTCATCGCAACAGCAGTGTCCCTTCTGGGGGGCTTGCCGGAAGCTCCGAAAGCCTGAAGCTCCAGCGAAAAACTGATAGAACATGCTGAACAAACAGATCATCGAACACGTCAAGAAAGCCTTCCAGCTTATTTGGCACTGTTCGTGCGTCTTGCGTACTCGAATTTGGGCACTTCTTATTTCCCCAGCAGCACAGCGGGACGCTCTGGCAACCCCTCCAAAAAGGGACTCACAGCTTTATCTCTCTTACCTTATCACCCCACCCGCAGATGAATGAGCCCTACCTTAGCCCAAAAGACTTTCACTTTTGGGGCTTTGCGACTTGCACGGCCGAAGCAGCGCGAGGCACACTCGCCCCTTTTGCCGTTTGACATGTGCTATAGTCTAAACTCCTAGTATTCCCCTTGATCAGTCCTAGAGTAATCCCCTATATAATTCCCTATACAACCCCCCTTTGAGGAGTTTAGACTAAAGCTCATATAGAGACTACAAATATAGCCGCAAATCCAGTCCAGCTCAGGGGTCAAGTAAGCGAAGGGACTGCCACATGAAGCCTTTTTAAGTAAAGAGCCTACACTACACCTTCAACCTCAGACCCTAAGCCCTAACCCTAGACCCGCTTCCCAAGCTCCGAGCCACCTCAACTCCAAACCATAAACCCAAAAACCTCTACACTAAACCGTGTAGACTATACCCTACACCCTATACCGCAAGCCGTACACCATAAATCACGTATACCTCCCTCCCTAAGCCCTTGACCATAAGTCATATTGTGATCCTATACCCGCAACCCCCATGCCCTACAGCCATCTAAATCTAAACCTCACTCGAGGGCTCTGCGCTGCTAGGATGGCGGTCTCGCTGGCCGCACGGACCTCCAGGTGGCCTCTCAACTGGGGGGTGGCTCGCTTGGGCTGAAATACTTGGGTTTGGTTAAGAGGACCCTAATATAATCCCTATTATCCCTATAGTCACTATTACTGGGTGGGGGTTTGAGTGGCTGAAATACTTGGTTGGGTTTGGTTCCTTTGCAAAATATTCACCGCCCGAAGAAGAGGATAGACTTTTCTTCTATGCTGGGAGTAGGGTTATCTCCCATGAAAGGCTACACAGCTGGGTTGGCGCTTCACCATTGGCGTAGCCTCAGCATAAGGCATTTTCCATGTGGGGCATTGCCTGATGATCCCTGGCAGCACGGCATGTAACAGGATTCAGCAGATTCAGCAGAGTGCATGCCACTTGTATGGCCGAAACCAAAATAACTCCTCCCACTCCCTTCCCTGCAGCCCGAGAGAGGAGGGACCGCGGCTGCCAAAGAAGCCAATGGGATTGACTTCCAGGCTACGAGACTGGTTTCTAGCAGAGAACTGTGAAGAAGCGCGTTGGGGTGTTCCGGTGCGGTCTTGAGCTTAAGAGCCTGGGTGGGCGTCCAGCCTTACGGACGCACACCTTCCTACAACTTCTTGCCGCTGCGGTGTCCGCTCACAATGCTATGTTGCAGTCATGGATTTTAGCTGCAGGGTTTTGGCCGGGCCCCCGAAGTTCACTGAACGCCTTGCAGGAGCTCTACTCGCAGCGCTGGGGCGGCTGCAATGCGGCCAGCACTTCAATCAGCAACAGACCATGCAACCAACTGCACAACCCTGCGCCGCAGACGTCGCACGCACTCTTCCTGCGCACCACTATCGTCAATTCCCTCGTTTCACGTGAAAATCCGCCGCGTCGATGCGAGCAGCGCTTTCAAATGTAAGACCATTCAAACAACGCGGCAGAGCACTGCAAAATCGACTACAATGGCGCGAATAGCTTTCTTCTAAACGAGGCTGACTGCCATTGAGGCTGGCTGCCCCTTACCTCGAACTTTTACAAAAGGTGGCTTGCTGTAGAACACTTGGGCCCTCAGCTTGACAGCAATGCTTACATAGAGAGGGAATCTGAACAGGGGCAAACTCCATTTGCCACTCAAACCCCAGACTCTTAAGCCGTAAATCCTCAGCAACATGTGGGAATGACAGCTCTCTAGGGGATCCAAGGGGATACGGTAGTTATGTGACGATGACGGTACCCTGGGAGACCCAAAAAAAGATGGCAGTTTCCATAAACACGGGGACGGACCCCAGTGTAGACCCCAGAACTACAACCGTTATCGTGGGAACCCCAAAAAATTACCAGTCATTTTGGGAAAAACATGTAAAAATCATGAGGAGATTATAGCGTCCCATGCAGACCAGGAAAGCTGCAAAGCCTGTAGTTCCAGCGTCAGCCAGCCGTAACCTGAACAGCTGATGATCGAAATTAAATTCCTTCTTCTCTAGGACTTCTGGTATTACGGCATGCCTAAGGAAATCTGGCGAAGTATGCTCTATTAATTCTGATGCCACGGCATAGTTTTAGGAATTCTGGCACCCTTCGCAAGAGCAACAGCATGCTCCGGGTCGCGCAGGACATAGTCTAAATGATGACATCGGTAGGCCCATGTGTGGTTCTGATGCAAGACAACTACTACCCTCTGGCACGACTGTTGAATCCAAATTCACCAGCCAGGGCGGGCTTCAATTTTTCCGAAAAGAAAAGGCCAGCCTCGCAACTGGTATATTATACTCCACGCACGCGCGGGCAGCAGTTAGCTAAACCAGACTGCTTAGCATCGTCGTGCAAACTCAAGGGCCGACCACAGGGAATCGAAGCAAGGGCAGGGCATGTTTTCAGCCTTTCTATAATCCCAGTTACGATTTCATGTTCCATGTTCTTTTCCACTAGAAGTTATGTGATTCTCTGTTATCCTGCAATTCATGCCTCCAGCCCAACTGCGAGCTTAGACTTCCCGGGCATCAGGCTTGCTGGTGGCAAGTGGACTTTCCATCCACGTCCACTCAACACGATGTGGCCTGTACTCGTGCCACTTCACGCGCAAGAACATTTGCAAGAGCCGATCGAGCGCTCGCGTCCCTTCAGGACTTGAGAGCAACCCGTCCGGAATTTCAACCAGCACAAGTGCCAGACTTGTCGGAGCTTTCTTGCTCCTTACTCATGACTCAGCCTGCTGGCACAACATCTGCGTGTAAGTCACAAACCACCCAACACAATGCAATATTCTACGGCAGAGCTGCGCAGATACTCATAATTAGCAGGCTCTCCATGACATGAGTGGGTAGCGTTACCGCGAAGCCGCTAGCTGTAAAACATCAGGCTTAAAAGCTCACAGCAGAAAACGGGAGGTGAAGAAGAGCCTTTGATCACTCTCACCAATTCAACGCTTCATTAAAGTCATCTTGTCCGCCAATCTGTCCACAACAACTCCTCCAGAGGGCAAGCACATCGGCAGGTGCGAAACGGCAATAGACAAGCAAAAAGACAAACAAGGAGACGTACGTTTCAGTCTGAGCTGCGCATCTCTTGAATGTCAACTTGCATTTGACCTGGGAGTCACTTCCTTTCAGCATGGCTTCTGCTATGGCTGGGGTGCTGCCTTGCCCTGGCAACCAGCTTTCTTCTGACGTGCCGCTCAGCCGTTCTACTGCTCGCTGCCACCACCGCCGCCGTCACCATCACCACCACCAGCAGCAGCGCCAGTACCAGCAGCAGCAGCAGCACCACCACCACCAGCACCACCACCACCACACCACCCGCAGCAGCACCACCACGAGCAGCAACACCACCACCATCACCCTCACCACCACCATGATGACGACTAGCAATCAGCCAAGGCACCGCAGCTGCGCATCAGAGTCACCAAATCGATAGACTGTGCGGACCCTTTCAACCTCTTCGCCCCAGCAAGGAACTCTTGATAGGAAATCTGTCCGTCTCCATCATCTAGGAGCCTCAGCCAAAGAAGCAAACGTCTTGGTCTGCTCTGGTGTTGCCCATGCCTTCAGCCTGTTTGACGAGGGAAGGGTAAAAGAAAATGCAATGCAAAGCGAGTAGCTTGAACAGATTCTCTGCATCTGAGGATTGCAAGTCCAGCGCAGCCATCCAAATCTTGAATCGCGGATCTTTAAGTGCACGTTTGAACTCTTGTTCATCAAGTGCACCGCTGCCATCTTCATCCAACTCACGGAAGAGCATGCCAACCTTGCTAGGCAAATGGCAAGTCTCTGCAAGCTTCTTGCGACAGTGCGCAATAGCAGTACCCTGCGCCAAGTTGCTCCTTTGGCATGGCTGTCAACCAGCCGCTTCTTCTGCAAGAGCAAGAGCTCATCATCTTCGTTTGCTACGCGCATAGTCTGCTGAATGAAGATACCCGTAATGACCTGGCTACGACCACACGAAGGCACACAAAACACAAAAAAACGGTAAGAGGCCAGGGGCAGGGGACAGCATGTTCTAGAAGCCTTGAGCACTGCAAAACCGACCACCAGCTTGTAGATCAGAATTGCAACCTCAGGCTCACTGCTTCAGTTGAGCTCTGAAGAAGCATGATGCGGGCGAGCTCTGTAGAGGCTCTGGCAGCAAACCAGGCGCTGACATTCTCCATCAGAGATCGTGTGATGCCTGGCAGCATAACACAAAAACATGCGTGATCCTGAATTCGAACACATGAAATTCGTTGAATGCCTGAATAGTTTGCGAGCGTGAGCTCGAACATGGATACAATTGCGCGCCCCACAGTCCCAAACAATGTCCAAACTTCCTGTCTGACGGCAGAATCTGCAGCAGTGGATGCCTCTATCCTGAGTTGGGTCTGATGCAGAAGACAACAAAAATTCTCCAAGCAGCATGATTCTTCTGCCAGTCTGAAATGCTCCCATCTCAAGTCAAAATGGACTGCGTCTCGCTTTGCAAGGTAAAAACCTGACTAATCCTTAATAACGGAACCCGAATAAAGCAACATGATTTAGGCACATGCCCACCCTGTTCAAGGCCATGGAACCACCCCTGAAGAAACTGCGAGAGGGCTAAAGCACAGACGGTCATGAGAATCAGGAGCACAAGGGCAGACCTTGGTACCATCATTTCGCAATTAGTAAATAGGTTAATCATGGGGATACTTAGGGTTGTTATGATCTGGGTTATAGGGGTTATCAAGCTAATGTTTTGCTAGATTTCCAGTAACATACCCTATTACAGTATTTCCATTTTCGTTTCCACTATCCCTACATAATCCCAACATATACCCTATTATTCCTATATGTCCCTATACAACCCCTAGCACGAGCTAGATAGTAACTTTCGCCGGCTTCCTGCTAGCAGTACGACACGCAATGTTGGTGCTTTGAAGCTGCGCTTGCAAGTCTTACCATTCTTGCTCTTCTTGCTGGCGCTTCTATGCCAGTGCCCCTGCTCTCGCAGCAGCTGCCGTGGTACTTCTGTGCTACTGCGGTACTACACTACTCCCCGCAACTGTTGCGAAATTTTGTTTCCTGGCCATCATGTCAGAACAGGTTTGCAACATTGTAGACAGCTGTCTATCTACAGCCTCAACTGAAAGTTGCATACCAATCACATGCATCTTGTTATGCTGGGCTGCACTTCTCATTCTCGTTTAGCCAGCTAAACATAAAAAGAAGCTGAGAGACCATGCCAGGATGTCGAAGGATGCGCGGATGGAGCCCAAAAGGAGGTGAAGTGAGTCGAAGCGCTGGATAACCTTCAGCACCCTCACCTTTCAGGGTCACGACTCTTTCTGCAGCATGTTCCCACATGTGGTCACTGTGTGTGCTGAGCTGCTATACGTCCCAATTTTGCAATCCTTGGCAAGCACACGCAAAAATTATGTCAGCTCGCTCGCGGCAAACCGTCAAGAGTTTTGGAGGCTTGCTGCCAGGAATCCGCAGCATCCGGAACCTGGACACGCGGAGATCCGGGGCAACTGTTAATGGCCACCAGAAGTACTCAGGCTGCAACACCATGGGGTTGATCTCCACCGCCAGTCCTCCGGCGTCAACTGCCCAGGTCAGGACCTTGGCCGTCAGAAAATGAAGGCTTTGCCCAGGATGTAAGAAGGACTGCAGCTCAGATCTGGGGCATGTGCAATGAACAGGTCCAGCAAGTTCCAGCCAAACTTCCAAAAGTCCAACAAGCCAAAGGCAAAAAACTTGATCAGAATCTCAGCGGAGAAGACAAAGCCAAAACCTAGCTCTATGAGAAAGAACACCTCGCCATACTCACTGGTTGTTCCAGTTTGGATGCCGAGGGTGGTGGCCAGGGCCAGCCCAAAAAGCTCAATCTGAACCATCATGGAGATGCAGTTCAAGAGGATCAAGCTCACAAAAAACAGCTCGAAGGGGTAGCCAGTCACTACCCGGCGCAACCATGGAATGCCCCTCAAAAGCATTTCCTGCATGGATCGCGACTCTACCATCTCCACAGTTGACTTTTGCCTTTCTGTCGGGACCTTGCCAAGGGCCAGCATTGCAAAAATCATGTCGGCCGCATGGCAACAATGGCAAAAAGGGTAAAGCTAATGCAACTGGCAGCATGGGAGAAGTCTGGCACGGTTGCTAGCATAGAATTCTTCATGTTCTTCTTCATTTTCTCCACCAACGACATCTTGTCCTTCTTCCCCAACAGATTCACAATTCTTGCTGTGGCCAGTTTCCATCGGATCTTGGCCATACTTTGTGGCCCCTCAAGAGCGAGGGCAGCTGCTGCTGCGTTGGCCACCTCAACTGCCAGCTACAATGGCAGAGCAGTTCAACAACTGTGAGAACAACATCACCACATGTAATTTTCAAAGGCACAGCATTCTTGTGGTCGCTTATCTCGACGAGTGCTGATGATTTCCATCTGTCCAGCTCCGCCTCAGAACGGCCAGTGATTCACAGCTGCTGCAAATGGTGATTCGCCATGAGAAGGTTGACAGAAAATCTCGAGCAAGCTTCCTTCTCCTTCTCCAAGGACTCGGCCATCACTTTCAGCCTGGCTCTCTCTGCAGCCAGGTCCTTGGCTGTGGCTCTTGCAAGAATCGATTGCTGCTTGCTGTACCAACTGCCAAAGTGTGAACGTCTGCGGCTAAAGGACCCCGGAGATTGCGCCGTTTTCCTGCGCAGGAGACCAAATCCAATTTGGTGCAACTCCATTGACACCCATGATTATGTAACTCTGCCTTCAATTCGCCGAACACAAGTCGCACCAGCCACAAACAACTCAACGTGGCACCAATAAAGCGCGCTTCGTGCCAGTACTGCCAAGTAAGAAACCAACCCACCATTTCTCTCTACATAGATGTATACACACCTATAGATGCACAGGCTTGAAAACACTTGCATGCATACATCATCATACACCAATACATACACATCCCCAGAATCCCCGGAACAAGCAACAGAATCCCTATGTAGTGTTTCCCCTATAGAATCCCATATTACCCCTATATGGTACGTTTACAATACCCATATATGAGCTACAGTCTGCATAAACTCCTAGTATCCCCCTGGAAAAGCCCTATCATGCTCCCCTATGTCATCCCTATATAACCTCGTTTAAGATCGTAGAAGGAGTTTAGACCCTAAACTAAAAGCCCTAAACCCTAAACCCTAAACTGTAACCCCCTTTAAGGAGCCATGTATGCCCTCCAGCGGGGCGCAGGCCTCGGTCGCAGACAAAATGGCAGCCTCACGAGGCTGACCGCTAGGAAACCTTCAAAAAAATTGGGTTGAGGGTTGGATAAAGGGCTTAGGGTGTTGGATAAAGGGTTGGATAAAGGGTTTAGGATTTAGGGCACCAGGTTTTCAGAAAGCAGGGGTCCCCTTTGGAATCCCAATAGTACAGCCTTGGGGCAGTGTGCTTGTCTCGAGATACCTACACCCGCGCTGATCCTGCGTACCGGTCTACCAAGAGAACTTCGAAGGTGCCAGCCTGACCATTGTAACAGCTGCCTGCAAACCCTGCTACTATAACCCTATATAACTATACCCATATTACCCTACATATACCCTATAACTATAACCCCTCTATAACCCTATATATGTATCCCTCTATTACTGCAAGGACCTCCTAAAACAACTCCAAGACATTGAGCGTCAAAAGCGGACCCGCCACCTTCGGAAGACACGTGGGGGTTTCCCATAATTAGGGTTACCATTTCGGGGGGTCCCTATAATAAGGATTAAAGTATCTCCCCCTATTTGGGGAAAGTACCATGACTGCTTGGGCGCACATTGATGATCTTGAGGTAAACTCTCAAACCCGCGTCAAGAGGTCGCACGCATAAACGGAACATCTTCAAACTATGCTCTTTTGGGACCATTTCTACTAGAGCACCTCCTCTTTTGAGGCCTACACATCTGATGCCGAAACCCTAAACCTTTTCCCCGAGATGCTCAACTCTGACCTCTCTGCCTCTGACCCTAAACCCTAAACCCCTAAACCCCTAAACCCTAAAACCCCAAACCCTGAATCCTAAACCCTAAAACCCTAAACCCTTTACCCCTACCCCTAAATCATAAACCTTAATCCCCTTAAACCCTAAACCCCTAAACCCTAAACCCCTAAACCCTCTACCCTGAACCTGAAAGGTGTTGGAAGGCAGCTACCTAAAACACAGGCCGCCTTCTGGAGCTCACTTTGGAGACTTTTGGCCTGCCAAGGCTGCCCGGGTTCCCCCTTTCGGGGGGTTTAGGGTTTAGGGTTTAAGGTTTAGGTTTAGGGTTGGGGGTTCAGGGTTTAGGAGTTAGGGTTGAGGGTTTAGGGTTTAGGGTTTAGGGTTGAAGGTTTTTAGGGTTTTGAGTTTTGGGGATTCTACAGGGGAAATTGTACGGATATTCCCCCCGCCAACATTACCAAACTGGAGAATCAAATGGCAAACCCGTGGATTGCGTTTATAAAGTTTGACGGTATCAGCCCAATGATGGAGAATCAAACGGAAAAAGCATGGAAAATCAAATGGAAACTCGGAGCATGTAGTGGTTTGCTGGCGAGGCCTCGTCCACGAGTGCCAGCACACACACAACTGCTGGACAAAGGAATCCCCACATTGCTCTGACTCCGGGAAACCCTGCAGCAGACCCCTTACCAGCCCCTAAACCCCTAAACCCATACACCCCTAAACCCCAAACCCCTAAACCCCTAAAACCCCCTAAACCCCTAAAAACCCCTAAAAACCCCCAAACCCCTAAGCCCCCAAACCCCTAAACCCCTAAACCCCACAATCCCAAAGCATTAGCCTGAACCTCGCTCCAATCCGTGAATCGTTTCAGCCTCGGCTCTTGCTCCAAACACGGCTTTAGGGGTTTTGGGGTTTTGGGGTTTAGGGTTTAGGGGTTTAGGGTTTAAGGGTTTAGGGTTTAAGGTTCAGGATGTTGGGTTTAGTTTTTTTTTTGGGGGGGGTGGTGTGTGGTTTAGCGTTTAGGGTCTTGGGCTTCGGGATAACGAGAAAGTTGAGAGCAGGGTGCTGCTTAGTCGCGTGGAGCTCCAGAAGGCCCGTTGCAAAAAAGAGATAATTCATAATAACAGCTGCGCGAATAATTCCAACAATGTTAATAATCATGTAACCTCACTATTAGTAGTAAAATGAGCGGCCCAATGTTATGAACCTTCACCTGGAGTCCCAACTGAAACACCACCTGGTCTTGCGAGACTACACGGTCGCCCGGGCGGGTTTGGTGTTTAGGGGGGCTTTAGGGCTTTGTGGCCATCAGACTTAGGGGCTATAAGGCCTAGGTTTTGCCGGTTTGGGCCGGTTGGCCCGGATGGGACTCTAGATTTAGGATATGAGCTACTGTCTAAACTCCTCGTATCCCCCGTTATAACCCCTATAGTAGTCCCCTATATAGTCCCCTATATAAGCCCCTTTAAGGAGTTCAGACTATACCTCATTTAGGGTTTGGCGGCTTCGGTCTTTAAAATCATCCTTCAACGTGCTCTTCTCCAAAAAAATGTGGAGAAAAAAATGTTCTACGTTTACACACCACTGCGCAGCCTAAGCATCCCGATTCAGGAGCTTTTGGGGATATTCGGGGTTGCATAGGGGCCACACAGCGGCTTTATGTGCTTTATTAAGAAGATATGCCAGGGGCTGTAAACAGATTTCTGTGGAAACCCCTAAGCGGGTGGTTGTCAAAATTCTGGCCCCTTTTTGGATCCCTATTATAATACTGCACCTAACATTTAGGGTGCCCAAACTGAGATCATAATTTTGACAACCACCCAATATAAATCCTAGGCCCTAAACCCTAATCCCTAAACCCTAATCCCTAAACCCTAATCCCTGAACCCTAAACCCTAAACCCGAATCCCTAAGTATGTAGATGCACCCAAGTGTGGCCAGGAAGCAGATGGCGATGTTGATCTTCCATGTGCTTCATCATCGAAGCTCTATCCGCCTTGAGCACCTCATCGAGCCACCTTAGGTGAGGGATTTAAGGGTTTAGGGTTTAGGGTCTAGGGTTTAGGGTTTAGGCCCCCTTAAGTAGATAGAATATGGGGCTTTAAAAGGAGTTATATAGGGATAATGGAAAATAAAATGGAAGCTACTGTTTAGGGTTTGGGGTTTAGAGGATATGGTCCCCCTTAAGTAGATAGAATATAGGGTATGTAGGGTTTAGGGTATATAGGGTTTAGGGCTCAGGGTTTAGGGAATGGTCCCCCTTAAGTAGATAGAATTTATTGGGGGTATATATGGGGTAATGGAAAAAATGGAAACTACTACTTAGGGTTTAGGGTATAGGGTTTAGGGTTTGGGGCTTATAGTCCCCTTTAGTAGATAGAATATAGCTTTGGGTATGTTATAATAAGATCGCCATATACCCCATATTGTATCTACTTGAGGGGGACTAAGGCTGAGAACCGGAATTTGGGCGTCATAAAGGGATCCACAAAGCGTTGCAGGGATGTTGGTGCGCAGCGTGTTGTTGGAGGAAAAGGTCAGATTCCTGTCCAGCTGTATCCAGGCAAGGGGCACGGAGTTGGCCCTGCTGATTGAGGAGGCACCTGCACCGCAGTCAGGGTGCCGTTCTCCCTTGATGCAAAATTGGGTTTTTTCGGATATCTCAACCCGCCTGACCTACCTAATACCCAAAGAAACAATTAGTCTAATTAGTCCTCCGTTCTGGTCCCATGCGAGGATAGGCAGTCTGCAGCAAAGCGCTGGCTTCAATTTGGCTATAGGGATGGAACCATTGACCCACGAAAAAATCCAAAGGTTTATGGGTGGGTGCAGATTTGGGGACCCTGGCGAAGTGTTTCAGCATTTTGGGGAAAGCACGGGTCCTCCTTGAGGGCTCTTCTACAACTCAACCTCCACCCTGAAGCCTATACCTTAGAACCCTTAAATCTTTAATCTGACAAACCCTAAGCCCTGACCCCTCACACCCTTGCATCCCCAAACCCTAAACCCTTACATCCCCAAAGCTCGAAAGCCTAAGACTCCCACCTGCTTTGGAGGGCGGCTTTGGATCTGGCTGCGGCATGCCAGGAGTTCTCCCCACTAAACGTTGCTTTGGCAGCGAAGTGTCTGCGGAACGTCAGAAGCTTTTCAAGAACTGCAGGAAAACGTGCGCAAGGGAACCCCTTATATGAGGGCAGAGGATTACGGGGGCTCCAAGCACTATACTGAATTGTTTTTGAGGCCTGGGGATCTCGTTTTCAGGTTCGGAGCCCAGGCCCCCGGGCCCGGCGGGTTTCGGAAACCACCATCCGGTAAGGGAAGCAGAAATCCATCACCATGCCCGCAACACAAAATCATGAGGCAAGCCCTGTAGAAGTCCATGATCAACATTTGCCAAACCAAGGTCCCACCAAATCATCCACCTAGGCCCAGACCGCAGCAAGGGGCCCTAAAACTTAAAACCCCCTGCGTCTAGCTATGTACGCCTATATACCCCCACAACAGAGTAATCTTTCGGAAAAGAGAAAATGCCAGAAAGGAGCTGTTCCCAAGGGCCGTGCCCAGCCAGCGAGGCCGCAGCAA